ATATATGTCTGCAGAGGCACAAAAATGTTATACAAACGAACAAGATCTAAAAATTCGATTTAAAAGAAAGTTTATGGTCTTTATAGTGGTTTATGGAACCTCGTAGCCTCACTGTTACACTGTTACACGTTATACACGCCGATCTTGTGAGGTTTAATTGTTATTCGTAAACAAACGGGCGATCCCACTTGAAGGATTAGATCTCTGAAGACGATACTCGATACTAAGGGAACACCACATGAAAAAGCTGACTAGGTGTGTAAATGGCGCTTCTGCCGTTGTAATCGTTAGACAATATCCTGACCATAATATCCAAATACTGTATTTATTAATAAATCCAATAAATCCAAATTTGGAGAGTTGCTGCCGTATAAAGCAGCTTCGGCACCACACCACAGTACAGTGTTATCATGCGACTTACTTATCAATAGCGAGAGCCTGGGCTCTTAATGAGGACAAGGTTACTTATCATGTGGAAACGGAGGAGCATCAGTATGATTAAATTATTGATCATTTACAGCTATTTACGCACAACACTAGCGATGGTTCTCTATGAATGTTCGTAAAGGTAAAAGATAGCAAAGCACTTCATCTCTTATACCAGGTGGCTGATTCACGCCGCGCACTTTCGCAGTTATACTGTACCGCATGCACGAGTGCGGGCGGGTTTGCCTATGCTCGCTGCCTACGGCTCCTAATAGCCCCGTGCGAGTAGACGACCCGCCCGCACGCGTGCATGCGGTACAGTATAACTGCGAAAGTGCGCGGCGTGAATCAGCCACCTGGTATGTTCTATGTTTTATCTGCACGAACTTAAGCAAATCAAATTTTTTACACATTTCTGCATTAATTTGACCAGTTTTGTGCGTTCATTTGCACGAAATTATGCAGTTTTGCGCACTAAAATGCCTTCTCCCCTAAATTTAGTCCATTGCACGACTTATGCTGACAGGGCATGCTGCAAAGAGGTTAAAACGAGAGGAGTGGGACTGCAGAAATCAATGCAATCAAAATCCGTGGTGCAGCTGTCATGGATGGAATGGTAGTAAAATCTAATTATCAACTTTTTTGGTTCCTGTTCTAAAGCAAAAGGCCTTGGTCAACTTTCGACACCGTACGTGTCTCGAAATGTTAGAGGAGGCTCTATCCCAGCCTAACAGGGTTGTCCGCAATTTTTGCTTTTCTGGGGAGTTGTGGCCAATTTTTGTAAGAAGCTAAATAGAGGTGCCAGTAATTTAATTTCTTAGATAAAACAACGCCGGGATTAAGCAAATATTGCGAGCAACCTTGACGCGATCAGATAGAGTCTTTTCTACTCCACGTATACACGGTGTCGAAATAAGTTGACCAAGACCCATAGCTTTTGAACAGGAGCCAAAAAAGGTGATAACATAATTTTATTACCTTCCCATTCGCCAAAATGAATGGGAACATTATATATATAATTCCTCTTTTTCTCTCTTTCGATCGATATATATCCTCGGCAGCTAATGCACGCACACGCATTAGCCGACATGTATCTATCGCAGAGGCGCCCACAAAGCGGCAACCCACCCTGCATGGTGGCGCGTGCCACCCATTCAGCGCCTAGTGGATAGTCCACCTATTCGACACGTAGTTGGGCCCACCAGCGCTCTGCAAACCTGCTGCCGGGGCCAACAAATCATTATTCGTATTATTTTCATTGGTATTTTATTCAGTTATTGAAATCATGATATACATTGCAATGTCTATAATTTTTTGTGTATACTTCAAACTACTCTTCTTTTTATAAACGCAACGGAAACGGAAAGATAGTCTTGCGCTTTGGACTTTTGATCCATTAAAAAACTGTGTGTGGCACACATACGGGATCTACATGCAGAAATCCAGCAGAGATGCCTATTCACACGGGGTGAGGGGTTAATAACTCCTGAACTGTGTCTATAAGTTTCGTGAAATAAATTTCAGTTCTACTGAATTAATTGAATTTTTATTGAATTGGTTTAAATTATTGCGATTTGTACGATGGTAGTCCCGCTGCCTAGCTTCTTGTGCCCTTCCAGCTGCCTCTTGTGGTCGAATGACGTCAGGACAGAAGCAACGAAGTGATGGAGAGAATGAGATTAATTCGTTGTGGCCCGACACCCACAAGCTGGGACTGGCACTACGCACCCGTCTCTCTCTGCTCTTCCCCTACTTCCCTTATACATGAGTGCGCCCGTGCACACACGTGACTCTAACACGCCCACCTTTACCACACGTG